GACTGAGTTCTGACAATAAAAAAGTCAGAATTCTGACTTTTTTCTCATAATTCTGACTTTAATCTCAGAATTCTGACCTTTTTCTTCAGAATTCTGACTTTAATCTCAGAATTCTGACTGAGTTCTGACAATAAAAAAGTCAGAATTCTGACTTTTTTCCTCAGAATTCTGACTTTAATCTCAGAATTCTGACTGAGTTCTGACAATAAAAAAGTCAGAATTCTGACTTTTTTCCTCAGAATTCTGACTTTAATCTCAGAATTCTGACTGAGTTCTGACAATAAAAAAGTCAGAATTCTGACTTTTTTCTCATAATTATGACTTTAATCTCAGAATTCTGACCTTTTTCTTCAGAATTCTGACTTTAATCTCAGAATTCTGACTGAGTTCTGACAATAAAAAAGTCAGAATTCTGACTTTTTTCCTCAGAATTCTGACTTTAATCTCAGAATTCTGACTGAATTCTGACAATAAAAAAGTCAGAATTCTGAGATTAAAGTCAGAATTCTGACTTTTTTCTCATAATTCTGACTTTAATCTCAGAATTCTGACTATTTTCCTCAGAATTCTGACTTTAATCTCAGAATTCTGACTGAGTTCTGACAATAAAAAAGTCAGAATTCTGACTTTTTTCTCATAATTCTGACTTTAATCTCAGAATTCTGACTTTAATCTCAGAATTCTGACTGAATTCTGACAATAAAAAAGTCAGAATTCTGAGAAAAAGTCAGAATTCTGACAATAAAAAAGTCAGAATTCTGAGAAAAAGTCAGAATTCTGAGATTAAAGTCAGAATTCTGACATTTTTTCCCATGTTAAACTGAAATAAAATTAAAAAATCAGTTAACTTTTTTCAGTGGCCCTAATCCTCTTCCGTACATAATTCTAGCAGCCATCCCATAATTTGATTCCTGTGTCTGCATTTGCGTTTGATCTCCAAAACATGAGAAAAATTAAATCTACAAGATGAACTATGCTGTGTTTTTTATGCATCTGTCAGTATAAAGAAAGACAAACTACTACTGCTGCTTTTCACAGGTTTCTGTCGCCTGGATAGATTCCTGCTTGTTGTGGCTGAACAAAGCTGTAAACAGCAGAAGTGTGTGAAATGCCTCCTGAAAGGTCACCACAAGACGGATCGGAGAGAGAAAAGGGAAGGTGTAACCTTTACCTTGCTGGGCTGTGTGACAAACTGAACCCACTTAAGCGAAAGCCGAAGCATTTACATTCTGCCGTTCCTTTCCTGGTGGTCCTGACAGATCGATGATTGATTCGCAAATGTTCTTTCTGGTAACACAAAAACTGAAGGGGATCATGTGATGTTTGAAGCGAGTTGTGTGGAAGATTAATGGAATGGCTGGATTCGTACATGTGTGCGGTCAATGTGTGGTCACAGGAAAATTGAATCACTAACATGGAGGTTACTTGAAGTGACTTTTTCAACTGGCAAAAAATTATAAAACTCAGCAACAAAAATAAAAGTTGTTCTTAAAACAAAATGCAAAAGAAAATATAACCACACCTAAAGCATAAAATCTGACACCTTATCAGAAAACTAGGCTTAAAACTTTGCTTTTTGATAAAGCTTATAGTTAGAGTCGCTCAGGTTATCCTGAGCTATCTCTATAGTTATGCTGCTATAGGCTTAGACTGCTGGAGGACATAGGGACCCCTTTTTCATCATTCTTCTTCATTCTATCTCTATTCTCCCACTCTGCAGAATCTGTTAGTTCAATCTCTAACATTCTGCTCTCTCTGCTTTTTTCTCATAGTAGCTTCATCTGGTCTGTTCCTGTTTGGCTGTGACTCCATCCTGGAGAGAAATATCAGCTGTGCTGCTGCCATCAACACCTTTGTTTATAGATGCTGGAGATCAATCTGTTTTCCAGTGTAGTCCTGTTTCTCTGACTGTGACTAACTGGATGTGCTCTCTTTATCCTCTGACATGGGAGCTGGCTCGGAGCTCGTCTGCCTGGCCTTTTACAGCTGCTTTTTGTATCTCTGCTTCTGTCTCCTTGAACCCCAGTCGGCCTCACTGAGCCTGGTTCTACTGGAGGTTTCTTCCTGTTAAAAAGGAGTTTTTCCTCTCCACTGTCGCTACAAGCATGCTTAGTGTGAGGGATTGCCTTTGAGTCAATGAATCGATGCAATCAACTGTTTTTTTTACTTAAATAGAAAAGTTTGAATCAATCTGACTGGATGATCTGGTGAACTGGAAAGTTCCTTGAGATGACATAATGTGAATTGGTGTTATAAAAATAAACTGAATTGAACTAAATCCTTAGCTGTGAACTTTTAAACCCTGTAACTTCATCGTACAGTTTGAGGTGTAGCTGAGTACATTGATTGAAAATATCGTAAAGTGTATGCCTGGCCTGAGAAAAGAAACTTTGCATTTCTCTTTAAAACCAAAGGAGTTTAGAGGCTACAGAATGGTTTCAGTCAGACTAGATATTCTTGTCTTTCTGTAGAGAATCTAACACCTGGTCATGTTGAAAGGTGAGGAAGAATCTTAAAGTGAGTGGCGACCATGAATTTAGACGGAATCTGAAGCAAAGAAACTCAAAAAATGATCAGCAAAGCCAGTTTGGCGAGTCGGCCATGACACCTACTGAATCACTGACCGCTCACCAGCAGGCTGGACTTTAGGTTAATAAGAAAGTCAACCCACTAAGCATAAACTGAGATTATTTAAAAGACGAAGGAGCAAACATTTTTCATTTAGAAGCCGCTTAAATAAACTATTTAATTACAAATCAAACCTTCACTTCCTCTTGAGAAAGTGGCACCTTTAAAAAGTAAATTAGAAAATAAATCTCAAAAAGCCATGTTTTGTTTTAGTTTTTTTTACAGCGCTGTGCAAATATAGAAACGATTTTCTTAAATGTTCTTCCCCATTAACATTTTGCTCTTAGTTTCATATCATTTCCGTCACTGATGAGTTTTTTTGTTTGTTATTAACCTTTTCACCTTTGGGAAAACATTCATCTAATTTTGCACTCCTCATTTTAACGAAACCTTTTAATGTCTGCTAGCCTAATTTATTTTAATTACAGGTGCTGGTCATAAAATTAGAATATCATGAAAAAGTAGATTGATTTCAGTAATTCCATTTAAAAAGTGAAACTTGTATATTATATTCATACATTACATACAAACTCATATATTTCAGATGTTTATTTTGTTTAATTTTGATGATTACAAATGACAACAAATGAAAATCTCAAATTCATCATATCAGAAAATTAGAATATTGTGAAAAGGTTCAAAATTGATGGCCCCTGGTGCCACACTCTAATCAGCTAATTAACTCAAACCACCTGCAAAAGCCTTTAAATGGTCTTTCAGTCTAGTTCTATAGGCTACACAATCATGGGGAAGACTGCTGACTTGACAGTTGTCCAAAAGACGACCATCGACACCTTGCACAAGGAGGGCAAGACACAAAAGGTCATCGCTAAAGAGGCTGGCTGTTCACAGAGCTCAGTGTCCAAGCACATTAATAGAGAGGCGAAGGGAAGGAAAAGATGTGGTCGAAAAAAGTGTACAAGCAAGAGAGATAACCGCACCCTGGAGAGGATTGTGAAACAAAACCCCTTCAAAAATGTGGGGGAGATTCACAAAGAGTGGACTGCAGCTGGAGTGAGTGCTTCAAGAACCACCACACACAGACGTATGAAAGACATGGGTTTCTGCTGTCGCATTCCTTGTGTCAAGCCACTCTTGAACCACAGACAGCGTCAGAAGCGTCTTGCCTGGGCTAAAGAGAAACAGGACTGGACTGCTGGTGAGTGGTCCAAAGTCATGTTCTCTGATGAAAGTAAATTTTGCATTTCCTTTGGAAATCAAGGTCCCAGAGTCTGGAGGAAAAGAAGAGAGGCACTTCATCCACGTTGCTTGAAGTCCAGTGTAAAGTTTCCACAGTCAGTGATGGTTTGGGGTGCCATGTCATCTGCTGGTGTTGGTCCATTGTGTTTTCTGAGGTCCAGGGTCAACGCAGCCACATACCAGGAAGTTTTAGAGCACTCCATGCTTCCTGCAGCTGACCAACTTTTTGGAGATGCAGATTTCATTTTCCAACAGGACTTGGCACCTGCACACAGTGCCAAAGCTACCAGTACCTGGTTGAAGGACCATGGTATCCCTGTTCTTAATTGGCCAGCAAACTCTCCTGACCTTAACCCCATAGAAAATCTATGGGGTATTGTGAAGAAGAAGATGCAATACACCAGACCCAACAATTCAGAAGAGCTAAAAGCCACTATTAGAGCAACCTGGGCTATCATAACACCTGAGCAGTGCCACAGACTGATCGACTCCATGCCACGCCGCATTGCTGCAGTAATACAGGCCAAAGGAGGCCCAACTAAATACTGAGTGCTGTACATTCTCATACTTTTCATGTTCATACTTTTCAGTTGGCCAACATTTCTATAAATCCTTTGTTTTTATTGGTCTTCAGTAATATTCTAATTTTCTGATATGATGAATTTGAGATTTTCATTTGTTGTCATTTGTAATCATCAAAATTAAACAAAATAAACATCTGAAATATATGAGTTTGTATGTAATGTATGAATATAATATACAAGTTTCACTTTTTAAATGGAATTACTGAAATCAATCTACTTTTTCATGATATTCTAATTTTATGACCAGCACCTGTATAACCGTGTAGACAGAGTATTAGTATTAAATGATTCTTTTAGTAAAGAAATAAAATGATTGAAAATCACTTAAACTGAATCAAGAAAGGCTTTAGAAAAAAAAATCCTCTTTGCTCAGAATTCTTTCATTTATGTCCCTAAAAGTCAAACTAAAGAACTAAACTCTTCCCATCGACATGATTATCAGAAATATTTCCTCATCAGACGTCCTTATTTTTGTCCTCCCATCCACATCAACCTTATTATTATTTCTAATGATTTTATTCCTATTTCATCATTTTCATCGTTGTTCTTTTTTACCCTAAAGCATGTTTTGTGCTCTTAACATTTCAGGTCACTATTCCCCCTGGAAGACTCCAAAACAGGTAACATCAAACAATGCACTGGATTTCCCTTCAGCTTATTTCCAAAATCCAGATCCTGTTCTGCTCCTTCTCTATCAAACTAGCTCTACTAAAATCGCTGCTTTAATATATATAAAAGCAACAGGTCCAATTATCCTGTTAGTTTCTCTCAGCTTTGATGCTGTAATTTGGATTGACTGACATGCTGCCTTTTAAAAAAGCAGGAAACACTCCTTTTTTCTTCTTCCTCATCTTCCTGCTTTATAGAAACTTTCTTCCTTTTAGCTTACAAGACATCAAATACTCTTTTAGATCAGATACAATTCTCTGTATTCTTTTTGTCACGCTCTTAAGCCTCCACACATTTCTTCCGGCCTTTCTTTCTTCCTCTGTTTGTCTAATCCGTTTCACGCCTGGACGTCCTCCCAGCGCTGCTCTGACCAGTCCCTGAACCCGGCTGGGTTTGTCCCCCAATTCCAGATCCAGACCAACAACATAGTGGGTTTAAAGCACTTCTGTCACTTAAAATCCCTTCATTGTGAGCTGCTTCTGCTCCATCTCTGCATAATCTGACATTTATATGGAAATACCCGTAACTCAAAGCGCTAGAATTTTATCCACTTAGAACGCCGTGCAAAAGCAGACCTGCGGGTGAATAGTTTACATTTTGGACTTAAACAACCATAAACCTCTGTGGCTTTTCTTTATATACTTTATGATGCGCCAACGTTAAATAATGAGGCGTAGAATATATTATGTATTTTAATTACATTTGGAAAAAGATTAAATAAGTATTCAAGGCTGTTATCAAATAAAAGAAATGTTATACTCACCAAAATCAATTAAATAAATTGCATAATGTTGGCCATTTAAAACCAAACTAAAAAGATTTTAATATGACAAGAAAGCCACTGATGAGTTAATAAGATGGTGGCAGCATCATGCTGAGGGGATGCTCCCTCAGGAGCAGAAAGAGTTTTGTTAGGCCATAAATTATCTGTTAGCCTTTAAAGTTGTTGTGGAGGATTTCTGTAAATTAAAAAAAAAACCCTGCCCTTTCTACTTTAAAAAAAATGTGTGTGCAAGAGCGTGCACAAGCACATTTCTCCTAGTGCACGCTCTGTTTAAAAGCTGCCGTACTCATGGCTCATAGAAGCTTATTGTGTCCGAAACATCCGCTCTAACCCCTAAATCCCTCCATCACTATATAGAGCGGGGACTGTATAGTGAACTTTATAGTGAACTCAGTTAACTGACCGTTCACTCAAATGATCACTACTTTTTGCTCCGTTGGTCACGTAACTCCTCCACCACGCGGTGCCTGTGCCATCTTTGATATTAGTAGCCGCAGTCCGCGGCAGCAATCCCATAATGCTTTGCGAGGAGGGCTCTCCGCACACACTGGGAAAAAAAAGGAAATCTACATAAGTCATTTTTCTTAAAATAAGTGCATTTGTTCTCGGATTCAGGAGGTAAAAGAGACATTTTGCCAATGGAATAAGACAATTTACACTTAAAATTAGAAAACACAATTGCATGGTCTTATTTCAAGTACATATTTAGGGATGCACGATATTGGGATTTTGGCCGATATCCGATATGCCGATATTTTAAAACTCATGTAGCCGATAACCGATATCGATACTGATGTTAAAGCTGAATAAAAATAAGTAGTCATTGAAAATAGCAGTTTTGTTATCCATTTCTGACACTTTTACTTTTACTTTTACTTTCAAAATCTGGTGAAATTTCATCGTTCTGTTACAAACTCTCGTGATATTTAGCAAATTCTTGTGAGATTTTGTTAGTAAAATAGATCGATACCGCGTCAATATATCAACATATAAAAATATGGCAAAATTTCGTGAATTTTCGGGGGATTTCGTAGCATAACGATGACATATAGCAATATTTCATTAGTAAAAGAGATTGATATGGTGTTTTTAAATGGCAATATATCAGCATATGAAGATATTGTGATATTTTAATGTATCAATATTTTTTCCCTCGTCTTTAGAAGTTTTTAAGTCTGTAAAAAAGAAGGTTTTGAGGAAGAAGAAGAAGTAGTTTTTTTTTTTTTTTTTTTAGACTTTAGAAACTCAGAAGCTGATCAAATATCGGGTTAAATATCGGTGGGGTGGCCGATGTCCGATATCCAGTTCTAAGGCCGATACCGATAGGGGGCCGATTATATCGTGCATCCCTAACATATTATCTAATTATCTTATTTTGAGTAAAAATACTCATTCTATTGGCAAACTACCTCCTTTACCTACTTAGATTAAGAGTAAATACAGTTAATTTAAGAAATGTTTCCTTATTTCTAGATCGTTTTTCCAGTGCAAAGCATTCTGGGATATATCTGCCTTTTCTGAGGCCTTTTCTTCTTATACACTTTGTAGACATTTTTTCTCTTACGACCCTTGGCTATTTTCAAAGAACCGCGTTGAGAAAGGTGAGCTTTATTGACCCTCTAAAACCGTAGCTCACAACAGATATACGCCTGAAAGTTCGCAGAAAAAGATAGCTAACATGTTGAGCACGTAGGACAGCCTTATGCAAACATATCACCAGAATGATTGACAGTTAGGAGGACCACTTATTTAGATGATCCACCCAGAAATAAAAGAGGGTTGGATAGAAAAAAAGATAATTTGGAAGAATGACAACATCCCGAAGTAAATTTTGTCAGTGAAGTCAACGTTTTACTAACGTTGAGCTACTTTACAGTAAGGAAATGCATCTCTTTCATGTTTTTAATTTAGATTAACCCTTTATATGAACCCGAGGAAGGGTTAAATAAAAACAATCAGGCAACATGCTTTGAATATTTAAGAAAGAATATAAAAACGGTTTTATTTTTCCTTCCTACTTGGCCTTACTTCGTGTGGCTGCATGACACCAAGCTCTATTCTGAGTTTAATTTAGCATCGCCTCTTATAGGGAGGCGTCTATAGCTCAGAGAGTGAAGACTCAGATTAAAAAATAAGAAATTAGCTCATTTTTTTTAGATGGACTTTCTGTCAAATAAAGCTTTTTTTTTTTGCAGATGAGCCAATTTAGATTTGTCTCCATCAAATTCAGTAAGTGAATTCTGCAGTTAAGTTTCGTGCTGAATAATTAATGAATTATTAAAGGTGAGAAACTGATGATAAAGGAGCTGCTCTGAGCTTTAATGAGGTCCTCTCCCTGAGAGGAGCAGACTACCGTCACGTCAGAGGCGGTCACATCTGACGGCGCATTTCATTTCTCCATTCACTCCTCAGAACCAGCTGCCTAGTATTTCCCCGATGATTAACAGCCGTTCATGCCGCCTCAGTTTTTCCGCTTCCATCCGATTCGCTCTGACACTTCCCGATATGTCAAAATGTCGTCTGGGCTGTCTGTTTGCCGTCCTGCTGTGACTCATGCGGCCGCGCTTATCTGACACATCGAGGCTGACGCTCAGACTGACTGGTGTTGTGAAAACTGTCGCCGCTCCCACAAACAGCTCTGCGCATTTTCAAGATGTTTTGCAATGAAATTAACAACAAATCATCCGTCCACCTTAGAAAGAGACAGAAGAATATGCCAGGAACCGTCTTTTCATGGATGCCTCTTCAGATTTTCACAGCTGATCAACAAATTTTTCTGTTTAACATGTCGGCTTCAGCTACTAAATTCACTAACTTGTTGCTGGAATGACTACCTCTCCTATCCCCGCCCCCAAACAGGAGTAATCTTTCACTACTAAGAGGCCAGAATCAGTCGGATCAGCTTTAGATTTCTAATCAAATGACCAAACACTGAATGTTTGTCTGTTTCAGCAATTAAACAGCAACTTACTTCTTTTCTTTCAACTATCTTTAACTTCTATTATGTCTAATGTTTGAAAAAATGTATATTTCAACTTTTTTAACATTAGTTTGTGATGTTTTACCCTCATTTAGTCCAGAAAGAAGCCTGCTAAATACCATGCAAGTCTCTCTTCTGTTCATTGCATATATTTTCTCTTTTTTATTAAATCAGTCGTACTTTTTCGTCGTCTTCTTAGGCAGGGGTGGGCAATTCCACTTCATAAGAGCTGCAACTTTTAGATCCAAGCTTGGTCCAACACACCTTAATCAATTATCTCAGTTACCTCCTCAGTATGCAGTCAGTTCCTCCAGAGTTTTACTTACTTCTCCAATTATTTGATTTAGGTGTGTTGATACAAAGGTGCATTTAAAAATCGCAGGATTCCGGCCCTCAGGAACTGGAATTGCCCGTCCCTGTTCTACGGGTCCTCAGGAATCACCGTCCAGCATGTTTTCAGATGATTCTTCTTCCAGCACACCTGAATCCAATAATTGCATGATTTCCTCAATAGCAATCAGAAGCTGCAGAGGCTTGTTAGTCACCTTTTATTATAATGAGGTGTATGGAGGCAGGGAGACATCTAAAACATGCAGGACAGTCAAAGACGCCTGTACCAGAGGGACCTTTACAAGCCGGGCTGTAGCCTGTCTTTGAAATGTGCTGCTTTTTCACTCTTTACCACATTTTCACTGTACTATCATATATATATATATATATATATATATATATATATATATATATATATATATATATATATTATACCTAATGCACCTAAATAGCCAGGGAGATACAGTGGGGAGAACAAGTATTTGATACACTGTTGATTTTTCAGGTTTTCCCACCTGCAAAGCTTGTAGAAGACTGTAATTGTTATCATAGGTAGGTACTCTTCAACTGTGAGTAATGGAATCTAAAACAAAAATCCAGAAAAATTCAATGTATGATTTTTAAATAATTAGTTTCCATTTTATTGTGTGAAATAAGTATTTGATACACCAGAACAATGAAACTTAATATCTGGTACAGAAACCTTTGTTTGAAATTACAGAGATCAGACGTTTCCTGTAGTTCTTGACCAGGTTTGCATACACTGCAGCAGGGATTTTGGCCCACTCCTCCATACAGATCTCCTCCAGAGCCTTCAGTCTGCTACAAGTTTTGCAAGTGGGAAAACCTGAAAAATCAACAGTGTATCAAATACTTGTTCTCCCCACTGTATGTAATAATTAAAGGTCGACTGATGCAGTTGTTTTCAGTTTTCTTTTTAAGCCCAATGCTAACTATTTTTAGCATCAGTCTAACTGATCTCTAATATGTGCTGCCAAAAGTTGGGGACGATTTTTTAAGCAAATATTGACTTTTCTTTATTACATAATAAAAATGACACATTAATAAAGAAACGTCTCAATTTAAACTAAAAAGAAACTTCCAATACTAAATCAGACAAAGCTTTAACAATGGATTGCATACAACTTATGTAGCCTCAGGGCACGGCTGCTGAAAGCATCGGCCCATTTTTATCTACTGATGTGTGTTTGTCCTTCTATCAAACGATCGATCTATGCATCAATGTCTATTGATAAATATATAAACTCAACTTGGATTAATTTATTCAATACAGCTTTTTTAGTTTGCAATCTAGTTTTGTCTAAAATAATGGTAATTTTATTCTTTTTTTTTGTAGTAAAATGTCTTTTCTTTAGGAATGTTTTGGCCTTAATGACCATAAGTCAGCAAGAAGGTGTTGTGATAATATTTTTCTTTTTCATAGATTATTCTGAAAACTTTCAGCTACTGGAATTGAGTGAAAAAAGCAGCTTAAGTCCAAAGAAAAAAATGTAAACTATTAGCAACATTTATGCTCCAAAACATAAATGTTGATCTCAGAGTTAGAAATCTCCTGCACTGTTTCCGTTGTTGGATTTCTGGATCTTTATCAGATTAAGGCATAGATGAGGGGTCGTTTGTGTTTTAATCACGCTGATGGGGCTAGATGGAAAGCAGGAAAGGGAAGCATTGACTCGTCATGCCGCTGTGCTTTGCAGGTGCTGGAGCAGTGGGAGTCCCAGCAGGGCCAGAACAGCCCCGCTCAGACCAGCCGCTCAGCTCCTCTTACCTCCCACAGCGCCCCCTTCCCAACACACCACCTCCACAGGGCCTCAGTCCCAGACTCAGCCTCCGAGGCCTTGGCCCTGGCCAAACCAGATCCCTATGACCTATTTGAGAAGTCCATGGCTATCTATGAGAGTAGGCGTAAGTACCGGAGCTCTGATTGCAGGTGAAAACACACACATACCTGCAGTGGGTATGGAGGATAGCATCCAGGATTGAAAATGCTTCTTTTTTAATCTTCAAATAACAAACGCACAATAAAGAATGGATTTAACCTTCTCTGAAATACTACCAGCTGTTGTTATAAACTGTGATAATATCCTAGAATAGAAACTCCACACAACCGCTTTATTATGCAGTTCAAATATATGGTACAGCAATAACATAACTCTCTCTGGCTTATAAAATACTATAATAGTGATTTTCTTATAGTGTGATCTGATCACAATGCATCACCATATTTTTCCCCATATAAATTCTTATATATGTGAAGGTAAAACTGCATGCCCAGGCCTTAAGAAACAAAGACATGAATGAATAGTTTCACAAGGACTGTAAATTTTCTAACAGGACCGGATATAACCTGCAGGCGTAAGTGACTGTTGACTCTTTGAAATATCTGTTGTGTTCAGGTTTCTATGTGGGATCTCCTGTTAACCTGCTGCAAAGGACGCTGTTTTTTTTTTTTAAAGAGCGGTTCAACATCTGGTGCACTTCATTCCCTTTAGTCATATTGCTCTGCTTTTAAAAACGTGCTGTGTGGATGTCAAGTGTTGTTTGAGCTGAAATAAATTATTAAAGTTGTATCTTTGCTCAAACCTCTGCTGGGTTTCCACGGCTAACATGAAGATGCGATGTGACCACTTTACTCGGAGTCTCATAGGGATAATGGCGGCAGGCTGACTCTCCTTAAACTCCATCCTTTTACAAAGCACAGAGACAATGATGGAGAAAGACTTGCCTTTATGTTTTTTGTGGATAACCTCATTGTGGCTGGATGCTGGCTGAAAAGCCCACATGATCACCCCAAATCACCTCGCCAAACAGTTAAAGTCATATGAAAAATCATATTTAAATGTCAAATCACTCTTATCAGGCGATAAAACACATTTTTTCTATCAAAGATACATATCCTGATTAAATCTGAGCTAAGAAAACCTGAAGTCTCCCAGAAAAGGTGGATCTAACAGTGTGGCAGGTATAAAGACACCAATAAAAGAGCATCCTCTCCACATCAAAGCATGGGGGTGGCAGCATTATGATTTGGGGTTGTTTTCATTTCTCTACCTTTTTAAAAATTACGATTAACTGACTGAGCTTCATTCTGCAGCAAAGAGAAGACTCGACAGACAGAACGAAAATCCCCACAACAGGATAAAGATCTTGAATGCAGACATGAAGATTATTAAGAATTTGCTGGTAGACCTGAGCAGACCTGCCCAGAGGAGGTGCCCTAACAAGCTGACGAAAAAAAAGTAAAGATTTCCCCTTCTGCCAGCCTCCTAATCAAAACAGTTCAACAACGTCAAATTTAATATCTTATTTAAAATATAAAAAAAAAAAAAAAAATCCTGTCTTAAAATCTGTGGGGGTTTTTTGTTATCGTATGCAGGCCAGTTAGTTCTACGTCAGACTGAAGGCCTAAATTCGGCCAATCATTTATCAACGGTCATCTGTCAATCAAATTTTTTCGGTCATAGCATCTTGATTCATATGTCACAGCTAATATACGCAACGGTTGAAATCAGAATCCTTTCCTTTCCCATTGAGTTGCGTCCCAGTGTTCACTGGGATGAACGTCTGTGTCTTCGGGCAGGCGTAGAGCTAACAGAACTGGCAGCGTAGCGAGGCAAGGGCTCAAACATGTACGGCTGGAAGCCTTCTACACCAAACCAAGCTTCTGCCGCCCTGGCGTCCTCTTCCACAACATCTTCGTCCCCGCTTTCCTCCTCTAAATAAAAAATGGATGATGGAGGAGACTCATCCACGACCTCCGACACTAAACTCTCCTCCTCTTGCATGTTTCCGCTGTCCATAGCGTTCCTTGACAGCGTCGTTTCTAAGTCACCAATTTAGTGCTAATTGGTCCCAATGGAATTTCCCATTGGGAACCTGCTAGCACTAAGTTGCTAACTGGTTAGCAAGATGCTTCCAAGAAACTGGCAACAACCAAACTTTCTTGCAAACCTTCCGGCACAATAATCCCTCCCTCTTGATAAACGCCCAATCACATTCACTTTATTCATTCGTGTAAAGTCGTGCTAGCCTCGTGAGACCATCCTGATCTCGCGAGCTTTCAAGATTTCACTCGCAAATCAGTCTGGAGACTCTCCGTTAAAGAAAATTTGGAGCCGTTCACCAAACGAACGTCCAATCAGCGTTGGCTTTGAGGCGGGTTGAGGTGTGACGCAACAAGAAGCACGACAGTTCAGTCTAAAGAACATGGCGGCTTCAGCCAATGAAACTAGCGTTAGCGTGGCTATCGAGCAAGTTTTATCGGAATTACAGAGTATTTCTTCACTGAAAGAAGAGCAAAACACTGCTCTGGAGGCTTTTCTCAGAGGAAAAGATGTTTTTGCTCTTCTCCCGACTGGTTTCGGCAAGAGTTTGATCTATCAATTGGCTCCTCTTCGTCGTCGCTCTGTTAGTACGTCATATGCTTCGTTGATCTGATTGGTTTATTTGGCCCGTCTATCACCAACATAGGCCAATCAGCTAACCAGTATTTTCGCCCCTTCCCAAAATTACTTCAACGGAAGGTTTCCAGATGGATATGCGGAGCAAGGTTAAAGTCGTGCATCACTCGGGAGAATTCGGAAATTCAACGGATGGAACGGCCGTTTCCCTACGATTTTAAAAGTTCTGCACTTCACTTTACACCCAAACATTCCTGCCTTGGTCTTAATGTATTAGATCTTAGTTTAAAAAAAAAATGTTTCTGTTGGTAAAACTGAGTCTGAAGCAGATCTCCTGGATTTTAAGTAATTTTTCTGAGCTTCCTGATGTCCTCCCACTTGTCATCATTTTAAGGCATAGTGTTGCCTTAAAATGGTCTTTACATAAAGGACCATTTATTATTAAAGGGCACGATCCGCAGCGTCCGGTTGCAGCTTTTTATATTTTCTTGACTAATTAAATCCTACACTGTAAAAACGACAACTCAAAATTGTTCACCTTACTAAGATTTTTGCATTCACTGACAATAAAATTGCCAGTTGGAACTTGAACTGTCTGTTGTGAGCCAGTTGAACTCACTTTCATAAGTTTCTGATGAAAAGTTCATCTTATTCTATAAATGAAGTTGAGTTTACTTAGAAGTTGTAGTTGACACCCAGTCCGAGCGAGGTCAACTTATCTGCACATGCTCATTTCAAATTTGTCATGGCAACCGGCTGCTACAGGGTTTCCATGGATTTTCCCAGGAGCTCCCTTCTAAAGTTTGGTTCAGCCATCTGGTCACTCTGCTGGCTGTAACTTTCCCTGAAGACTCGTCCAAGAGAAGACTAAGGCACTGGTTTCCCCTCATCTCTGGCAATATTGCATTATTTGTAAGGTTTTAACAGGAGTTGGAAAGTAAAAAAATATATGCTGAAACCAGATTTGCTGTAAGCATAAGATTACTTGTTTACATTGTGGAATTGTAAACCTGTTTTTGCTGATATATTCAAAAAACATGCAAAATATCACTCATTTACTATCAGGGCTGCTCAGTGGCGCAGTGGGTAGCACTGCTGCCTTGCAGCAAGAAGGTTCTGGGTTCGATTCCTGGCCCAGGGTCTTTCTGCATGGAGTTTGCATGTTCTCCCTGAGCATTTGTGGGTTCTCTCTCAGTACCTCCTACAGTCCAAAAACATGACTGTTAGGTTGATTGGCTTCTCTAAATTGTCCTTAGGTGTGAGTGTGTGTGTGAATGGTTGTTAGTCCTGTGTGTCTGGTGACCTTTCCAGGGTGTACCATGCCCCACTTGGGAAAAGCGTGTAAGAAAATGAGTGGATGGCTTACTGTCAGTGGATGATGCAATCGGTTGGGGGATTTAAACTAAAAAATTTAAGTTATTACAGGGGATGGTAATCTGAACTTAAAATAATAAGTTTTTACAGACTTGAATTAAAAAAACTTAGTTGGCAGAACTTGAAAAACTTAGCTGACACAACTTAATAAGTGTAGTTCTACAAAACTTAAAAAATTAAGTTGATGCCTTCAACTCAAAAATTCTGTGCAGCCGGTTGCCTTGAAATTTTGAGTTGAACTAACTTTTTCGTTTTTACAGTGTAACAGTGTAGAATCTAGTGGGGTTTTTGGGGTTTTGGATTAAATCATTTTGAAAGAGGATGTATTTACTTTTCGTCTTTATTCTATATATAGGAAGGAAAATGTTCCATTTTGCTGCTTTATGGCAGATCTTTATTTTACATTAGCCATTTTAGTTAATGCCCTTTCTTTGTTGAAAATGGAGGAAAAACAACTTTCCCTGATGTTTAAATGATGCTGTTTGTTAGACTTCAAACAGTTTTATGGTAATGCATGGTTTATCTTCATCCTACTGGAGGGGCAAACAGCTGTGTCAGTCTGCAGTCATGATTTTCCTCTCTCATTGTTCACGCTGAGTCCCAGCAGAGCGCTCGCTATGATTAAAGCAGATACAATTGGAATCAATTTTTCATTCGCTGCCTCTTGTCTGCGGCTGGGTTTGCCCTCGTGTGCCGCGGATCATGGTGTAGCATGGAGCCCCCTGATTACAGATCAGTGCTTACATCCCACCTCGTGTTGTAAATAATGAAGAGCCGTATTACCCTCTGTAAGCACTTCCTGACTTTATGGATGATGCTGAGATTCTGCGATGACATTAGTGCTGACTAGAAGATTCGGTCCTATATGGGAGCATCTGTTTTTTGGTATCTCTCTCTCTTATTGTCTGCATTGTTTTTCTCTCTTCTTTTCTCCAGAAACTGTGCAGCCAAGGACTGTATTTCCTGTGGACTCATCAGGTAAATGCATGACGTCTGGACGGATATTGTTCCCATCTTCCAGACATGTGATCTAACTGTTTTTTCTATTGGTTAAAGGAGCAGAATACCAGGACATCGAGGTCCACCTGCGCAGACAGAAGTCTGGGTTTGGTTTTCGGGTGCTGGGCGGTGATGAGGCCGGGCAGCCTGTGAGTGTGGAGACACGTGAGAAGGCTCGTATGGCGATGGGTGTGAAACCCTGTCATTTTCTACTCTAATCCACTCCACACCCACTCTGTTTACCTAACCCCTGACCCTCAGCCCTGAGAGAGTGCTGGCTTGCTATTGATGTAACCCTCCAACCACAGTGGTTTGCAGAAGTATTCACTCCCCCCTGAGCTTTCCTACATTTTGTCACATAGTAACAACAAACTTAAAACTGAAAAAATAAATGATTGTGAACTAAAAGAAATCTAAAATAATCTGAAAAAGCATGAGCTGCATTTTCTGCTGTTTAGATATAATATATGTGACTATTAGGGCTGAAACAATTAATTGGATTAATCGATTATTCAAATAATCATCAATTAATTCAGTAATCGATTAAGCGTTAACTGAAGTATAGAGACTGTAAAACATGCCTTTAGCTGAATGAGCGACACACTGATACCGAGATTGTATGTAAACATTTTGCATTTAAGATTTAAAAAAACTCTTTAAATCTGCTCTATCTAAAACTCCTTAAGTGGAAAAGTTTTAGTTTCACCCGGTTTAATTTAGTAAAACGTCTTCTTTAAATAATCTTTTGCTATACGATTATTAATCAATGAATCGAAAAAATAATAGACAGCTTAATCGACTTATAAAAATTAATCGTTAGTTGCAGCCAATATTGAGCATTTCTTTTTCAAGTTTTCCAGATTTTTAATTGGATTAAGGTTTGAACTTTGATTAAAATACTTTATTTTAAAGGAGAAGTCTGGTCAGCAAGGAATAATCAATGGATAACTATATATACTTTGAACCAATACGTTCGCAGTGATTTAATTAATTTAACATTAATCAGTAAAAACAAAAAATAATAATTTTCATGGCGATCACTGAGTCTGGAAGCGGCCATTTTTGCCCAAATATAGTAACCCCTCCCTCCTGCCATCTTTCAGCAGTGACGTCACGGTGCGGTAAGCCTAGCGCCATTCTCCCCGCTTTACAAGCAAAATCAATGGGAACTACTAGACACATCTGCAATCAACAACAATTATTGAAGATTTCCAGAGGACTTCACCATTGAAATTCACCAGAGCTATAGTGAAACTGACAATGCCCACGTGCATGGCAGCTGGATGCTGGAATACATTGGGTAAAAGTGAAAAGAAAGAGTTATTCCACCTTTCTGATTCCTGATCCTCCACGGACGGGTTGGTCGTTGGATCGCCAACTTGAAGAGGGAGGATTTGCCATCGAACTTCTGGCCAGAGAAAAAACCCGTAATATGTAGCCAACATTTGGAAGAAGAATGTTTTCAAGAAGACTTGGATAATAGCGCGTTGTGACAAACACCAGATACAGCACTGGGACTTGATCAACAGCCGATACCGCAACGTGACGTCACAAACCAGTAGGTGGCAGTAGTGTTCTTTGACAAACATGGACGCCTACAGTAAAGCACATTCACATGAAAATTACTCTGAATTAAAAACACTGATCATTTATTGAACAGGATGGAATAATTTCATATTTAAAGAACTTTCAGAAGTTTGTGTTCTTAATGTGACCAAACTTCTCCTTTAAACCATCCCGTTGTGGCTCTGGTTTAATACAATTTCTAATTAGTTTTTTTTTCCTTTTTGGGGTAAAAAGAAGCATCTCCTCAGTATGATACTGCCACTGCCGAGCCTCAAGGCCAGGATGATGAGCGCCGATTCAACAGAGGGAAATTACACACTAGTGCAAAGTCTTTCTTTTTGGTCAAAATCTTTGACCCAATATTAAAACATTAAAATAAGCAACCCAACTCCCCTTAAAAGACGTATAATCCATCCATGCTGCGCTTGGAGGCCAGCAAATATGAAAAACTTCCGTCAACTGAGTGAGAATAGTGGTCCTCTCTTCTGCCATCAAAAAGTATGTAAATTATTGAAATCTACAATTTCTAAAGGAGTTTGATTGATTCTGAATATTTTAAAAGACTACAGCAAAATTCTGCATCCAGTGGACAGATTTATTGAGATTGTAAATGACTGCACTGTCCCGGCAGATAAAAAATGTTGGCTCCATGTTTTTCTACAGTCCATCAGAGATGGCAAAAATACTCACTTTCCGTACTTGAGTAAAAGTACAGATACTTGTGTTAAAAAATACTCTGGTAAAAGTGGAAGTACTGATTAAACTTCTTTACTCAAGTAAAAGTAACAAAGTACAGGCTTGTAAATGTACTTAAAGTATAAAAGTAAAAGTAGAAACTACTTTTTTCATGCCGTTGCCTACATTTTAAATGGATGTCTGCCAATAGGACTAGATCTCCGTTGTGTTCATTTTCAATCATCTCGTCGTCCATGCTACTATGCTAACGCCACCGCCACCAAGCTGCAATGATTTGCCGCCAATGAATACCGCCGAATCTGTCGATTCATCTTGTAGTGGTGCGTCAAATGCAACGTAGATTCCCATCCAATTAGATTGAATTTGGTATTGATGACGTGAAAAAAAATAACGGTAACTCCATTGAAATGATTCAAAACTAAAGTAACGAGCCAATTTTTTTAAATGTAAGGAGTAGAAAGTACAGATATTTGTGTAAAAATGTAAGGAGTAGAAGTAAAAAGTCGCCATAAAAATAAGTAGTAAAGTAAAGTAAAAATATCAGAAAAATCTACTTGAGTACAGTAACAAAGTATTTGTACTTCGTTACTTCCCATCTCTGCAGTCCATTACAATTTGCCTAAATTAACTGGGATTTAATTATATACATATATATATATTTTATTTAGGTATCAAAATAAAGTAGATGAATGCATGCCTACTTAGTATTTGTAAAAAAAAAAATTCAACAAAAGAAATATGAAAACTGCATCACTTGCTTTCCATTTTATAGTTATGTGCAATTTGGCATTAATCTGTCACTAAAATCTAGATAAACTGCAAACTAATTGTAGGTTGTAAAGAGACTGAATGTAAAAAGGTTCAAGGGACACAAACTCTTCTGCAAGGCACAGGATGTAAAGTTAGACATCCTTTCTGATTAACAATAACTGTAACACCTGCTAATTAACACAATAAGCCCATAATCTAAGTTTAATCTGGAGGTCAACCCCATCCAACTTTCTCTGTTTAAATGAACTAAATAGATCCTTATTGGAGCGATCATAGAGAAGAGTCCAGCAGATGTAGACGGACGGCTACGGCCGGGCGATGAGCTGCTGTTTGTGGACGGGATCCCGGTGGTGGGGAAACCGCACAGATACGTCATCGATCTGATGCATGCGGCGGGTCGGAACGGACAAGTCAACCTGGTCATCAGGAGGAGGGCGCAGGCAGTAGGTAAGTGTGATAAGAATCGTTTCTATAGACTTTTAGGATCTTCTCTGTGATTCACTACCTCGAGTTCTCATTCAATTTATTCAATAATCCGGTTTAATTTTACCATCAATGTCAAGATGTAAGTAATGCCAAACCTAAAGGATAAAAACATTGAACTCTCACTGGAAAAAATCAAAATCTAGATAAGTCATTTTTTCTTAAAATAACTGCATTTGTTCTTGGATTGAGGAGATTAAAGAGACATTTTGCCAATGGAATAAGACAATTTAGATTTAAAATAAGAAAACACAATTGCATTGTCTTATTTTAAATGCATATTATCTAATTATCTTATTTTAAGAGTAAAAATTGTAATTCCATTGGCATACTATCTCATTTACCTACTTGAATTAAGGGTAAATACCCTTAATTTAAGAAATTTTTACTCATTTCTAGATCGTTTTTTGCAGTGCTGACATGTTCGTTGTTGGGGCGACAGTGGCGTTGGATGTAGGAGTTTGCCCTGAAATCGAAGGGTTGACGGTTCAAACCCCGACTCCGACTTTCATTGTCGTTGTGTCCTTGGGCAAGACACTTCACCTGCATTGTCTACTGATGGTGGTCAGAGGGCCCGGTGGCGCCAGTGTACGGCAGCCTCGCTTCTGTCAGTGAGCCCCAGGGCAGCTGTGGCTACAATGTAGCTAGCCACCATCAGTGTGTGAGTGTGTGCGTGAATGGGTGAATGAATGTAGTGTAAAGCGCTTTGGTCAAGTCTCCTAACTTGAATAAAGGCGCTATATAAGTACATGCCATTTACCATTTACCATTTCATCACTAGGAAGTTGTCTTAAAACTGCAAAAACAATCTAAAATGTCCTAAATTAAGTGTATTTACACTTAATTTGTGTGGATTAATAGGATAATTTGTCAATGGAATGAAGATTTTACTCTCAAAATAAGATGATTAGATATTATGAGCTTGAAATAAGACAATGAAATAATTTTTTTCCTATTTTAAATGTAAATTTTCTTGTTCCTTTGGCAAAGTGTCTGACTTACCTCCTCAATTCAAGAAAAAATGCGCTTATTTTTGTTAGAATAATTATCATTAATGATGTGTGAGTTTATTACGCCTTGGTATTAGCTGCCTGTTGCGTGTCAGAATTGATGTTTTCCACAATAGTTTATCTGATTAAGACGGTCCTGTTATACAGTTATAATCTTCATTCTGTACGTGGCAAATATTTGAGAATGGAATGAGAGCGGTGTCCTTCAGCTGAGAATAAATTGTAATATTTTAATAAGGCTGGAGCCATGGATGTCTACTCATCTGCAAACGTTTATTATGTAAAATGTGATGATGTGGCAGAGTGGAGATGTATAAAATGGCTTTTTAACTGTTAATCGGGGCCACTTCCCATGAAGTGAGCCCGGGGGTATGCAGCTGCCATTCTGTAAACTCTAAGCAACTTCTCTGATCTGAGTAAGATTATAATTTCTATCAGAATCTGTTGTCATGTCTCCTGGTTATTTTAATACATATAAGTTATTAAGAGTTATTTAAAGAGTTGGTCATGACGGTTTTAAGAGATCTGACCCACATGCAGAAAAAGAGAAACCGGAGAAAAGTTTAACAGGTTTATTGAGGAGTTCAAAGGGTTGGATTTGGGGGAACTCAGAGAACTGGTGAACCGGAACTGGAAGTGAGAAGGAAAGTTCACAGAGGTTAGTTCAGGGTCCGTGGGAACTTTGAACGTCATCTTGCAAAAACATAGATAAGCAGGATTCACGATTGTGGAGAAAGGTTTCTTCCCTGAATCCAGTCGGTGTGGGTTTTTCCAGAGATAGAGGGGCTCGTTGGAGGGCGGACAGGTTTTTGGTTTGGTTGGTTCCTGAGGAGCAATGGAGCGGACTGCCACTTAGATTTCCTGGAGAACTTGAACGGGACGTGTGGAGATGAATCCCCTGCTCAGTGTGAAGGTCAAACAATCCTTCCAGGGGGAGAAGGCCAAACATCATCATGTTAGACTCAGAGAAAGAAAGACTCAGTTAGACTCAGCTAAACTCAGCTTGGCTAGAGTACCCAAAACTGGAAAACACTCTGGCGTCGAAGTAGTGGCAGTCCACCGCTTAAGAAGTCCAGCCGCAGGTGTGAGGGAGGACCAACGAGAACAGGGCGCCACCTGGTGGTGGAGGGGGAAAACACAAAAAACAACCCACGCAGACTGGATTCCTAACAGAGTTTGTCCCTAGTGATCTCTTTTCAGGAAAAAAGCGGAGAGATATAGCGTCCAGGTGCAGACACAGAGCATATCTTTAACATTTTAAGAAAAAAATTACTTATCTAGATTTCATTTTTTTCCCAGTAAATAATCTCAAACAGCAGAACACCAGAACCTGATCTATAGAAATTAAAGATCAGATGAGAAACAATGTGAAGTTTGGGTTTCTGGTATTTGGTATTTGATTCAGTCTTGTTGTATTTACACTGAAGCTTCCGCAGAAAAAAATACAAAACTAGGCTTCAGCTCTCAAACAAACCTTTTCCTCTCGGACTTCCTAATCCTCTTTACCTGCACAGCTTTTACCTGGAAGCCTTAAAGGTTCCTCCTCTGATCTCATCGTCTCCACCTTCCCTTAAACATGCATACGCTCTTCTCACCAGTTCAACACCTCCCACTCCATCCGCCCTCACTGCCAATCTCTTCCTGCTCTGTGACTCATGCCTGACCCCCTCTGTGACCCTTACATCCAGTCCAATCATCTGACTCCCACCAGCACTTTACAGAGTGTCAGACTTTCCTTTCTGCTTCGAGCTCGTACTCCTGCCTCCACCCACTGCCACACATTTAGCTAATTTTTTGGCCGTTATTTTTCTTTTTTATTAATAATCTCTCTCCACACTATTTGAAAAGATAATTCAACACGTGGGTGGTAATTATGACTGGATACTAACTTAAGAAAATTAATCCTGGCCATTACTTACAACATAATAGATTTAAGTTTTTTAGCTGCAAAACGAGAGCTTTGAGGTCTGAAGACCATTAAGGTCTGTTGTTTTATTGAAATATTATCTTTCTTTTAGCCCAGATAAATGTCTCATTATTATTATTATCAGTGTATTTGAATATATGCAAAGTAATACTTTGTATACTGCACCTGATTTTAGGAGTTTACAAGAAAAAATCTATTTATTTTCTATCTATAAGTCGTACCACTGATTCCCAGTTGAATTAAAGTCTGGATTTAGACTGAGACATTAAAAACACATCAATTTAGATGTTTAGATGGTCCACAGGTCTTAAAGCCTCCAACTGATTTTCTTCCATAATTGTGCTGAATTTACCTCCATTCAGCTTTCTATCAACGTATACCAGCCTCTGCTATAGAGAAGTATACCCACAGTATGATACTGCCTCCACCATGTTTTACCGTTTGGATAATTGTAGCAGTGAAGCCTTCAAACATCATTTACATTCATACTTAGGTTACAGAGCGGCTAAAGGTTTAACTGGACTCAGAATAAAGGGAAGTACTTTATAAACGTTTCCTTCAACTTTGCAATTCATCGCTATCGTGTGTAGCAGCCTGTTGAATCCCAATAAAGTTTGAAAATATGAAGGCAGTTAGACTGAGACCTCTACCTCCCCCTACAGGTGAGTCCTGCCCAGAAAACAGCCGTAGCCCGGGCTCCGTCTCCACGCAGCACAGCTCCCCCCGCAGCGACTACACGTACGGAAACAGCACCAGCAGTACCCAGGCCCCAAACACCAGCGTAGGGAACGCCGCCGCTACTTCAGACGGGGTGTCCACCACCAACGCAAAGCCTAGCGACGTCAGAATCAGTAGGAAGGAGAGCGAAGGCTTTGGCTTCGTCATCATCAGCTCACTCAACCGGCCTGAAACGGCTGCGACTAACAGTGAGTCCATCATTAGCTAAGCATGCTTCCTGCATGTTGACCATGTAGTGAAGATGATTTCCTGAATTAAATTCAATGATTTTCAATGATTGACATTTATTATGTTTGTATTTCCCTTTGGGTCATCTGTAGTTACATAAACTACAAGGAAGGAAGGAAGGAAGGAAGGAAGGAAGGAAGGAAGGAAGGAAGGAAGGAAGGAAGGAAGGAAGGAAGGAAGGAAGGAAGGAAGGAAGGAAGGAAGGAAGGAAGGAAGGAAATTTATGGAGGTAGGGTTTGATTGAGTCGCGAGAGGCTGAAATTAAAAGAGGACATATGGTACATAAGGAAGTAAGGACTTAAAAAGGGCAGAGAGGAAAGGAAGGAAGGGAGAATCAGAAAGGAAACAGGAAAGAAAGGAAGGGAGAAGCAAAAAGGAAACAGGAAAGGAAGGAAGGGAGAATCAGAAAGGAAACAGGAAAGAAAGGAAGGGAGAAGAAAAAAGGAAACAGGAAAGGAAGGAAGGGAGAATAAGAAAGGAAACAGGAAAGAAAGGAAGGGAGAAGCAAAAAGGAAACAGGAAAGAAAGGAAGGGAGAAGCAAAAAGGAAACAGGAAAGGAAGGAAGGGAGAAGCAAAAAGGAAAAAGGAAAGGAAGGAAGGAAGGAAGGAAGGAAGGAAGGAAGGAAATTTATGGAGGTAGGGTTTGATTGAGTCGCGAGAGGCTGAAATTAAAAGAGGAGGACATATGGTACATAAGGAAGTAAGGACTTAAAAAGGGCAGAGAGGAAAGGAAGGAAGGGAGAATCAGAAAGGAAACAGGAAAGGAAGGAAGGGAGAAGCAAAAAGGAAACAGGAAAGGAAGGAAGGAAGGAAGGAAGGAAGGAAGGAAGGAAGGAAGGAAGGAAGGAAGGAAGGAAGGAAGGAAGGAAGGAAGGAAGGAAGGAAGGAAGGAAGGAAGGAAGGAAGGAAGGAAGGAAGGAAGGAAGGAAATTTATGGAGGTAGGGTTTGATTGAGTCGCGAGAGGCTGAAATTAAAAGAGGAGGACATATGGTACATAAGGAAGTAAGGACTTAAAAAGGGCAGAGAGGAAAGGAAGGAAGGGAGAATCAGAAAGGAAACAGGAAAGGAAGGAAGGGAGAAGCAAAAAGGAAACAGGAAAGGAAGGAAGGGAGAATCAGAAAGGAAACAGGAAAGAAAGGAAGGGAGAAGAAAAAAGGAAACAGGAAAGGAAGGAAGGGAGAATAAGAAAGGAAACAGGAAAGAAAGGAAGGGAGAAGCAAAAAGGAAACAGGAAAGAAAGGAAGGGAGAAGCAAAAAGGAAACAGGAAAGGAAGGAAGGGAGAAGCAAAAAGGAAACAGGAAAGGAAGGAAGGAAGGAAGGAAGGAAGGAAGGAAGGAAGGAAGGAAGGAAGGAAGGAAGGAAGGAAATTTATGGAGGTAGGGTTTGATTGAGTCGCGAGAGGCTGAAATTAAAAGAGGAGGACATATGGTACATAAGGAAGTAAGGACTTAAAAAGGGCAGAGAGGAAAGGAAGGAAGGGAGAATCAGAAAGGAAACAGGAAAGGAAGGAAGGGAGAAGCAAAAAGGAAACAGGAAAGGAAGGAAGGAAGGAAGGAAGGAAGGAAGGAAGGAAGGAAGGAAGGAAGGAAGGAAGGAAGGAAGGAAGGAAGGAAGGAAGGAAGGAAGGAAGGAAGGAAGGAAGGAAGGAAGGAAATTTATGGAGGTAGGGTTTGATTGAGTCGCGAGAGGCTGAAATTAAAAGAGGACATATGGTACATAAGGAAGTAAGGACTTAAAAAGGGCAGAGAGGAAAGGAAGGAAGGGAGAATCAGAAAGGAAACAGGAAAGAAAGGAAGGGAGAAGCAAAAAGGAAACAGGAAAGGAAGGAAGGGAGAATCAGAAAGGAAACAGGAAAGAAAGGAAGGGAGAAGAAAAAAGGAAACAGGAAAGGAAGGAAGGGAGAATAAGAAAGGAAACAGGAAAGAAAGGAAGGGAGAAGCAAAAAGGAAACAGGAAAGAAAGGAAGGGAGAAGCAAAAAGGAAACAGGAAAGGAAGGAAGGGAGAAGCAAAAAGGAAACAGGAAAGGAAGGAAGGAAGGAAGGAAGGAAGGAAGGAAGGAAGGAAGGAAGGAAGGAAGGAAGGAAGGAAGGAAGGAAATTTATGGAGGTAGGGTTTGATTGAGTCGCGAGAGGCTGAAATTAAAAGAGGAGGACATATGGTACATAAGGAAGTAAGGACTTAAAAAGGGCAGAGAGGAAAGGAAGGAAGGGAGAATCAGAAAGGAAACAGGAAAGGAAGGAAGGGAGAAGCAAAAAGGAAACAGGAAAGGAAGGAAGGAAGGAAGGAAGGAAGGAAGGAAGGAAGGAAGGAAGGAAGGAAGGAAGGAAGGAAGGAAGGAAGGAAGGAAGGAAGGAAGGAAGGAAGGAAGGAAGGAAGGAAGGAAGGAAATTTATGGAGGTAGGGTTTGATTGAGTCGCGAGAGGCTGAAATTAAAAGAGGAGGACATATGGTACATAAGGAAGTAAGGACTTAAAAAGGGCAGAGAGGAAAGGAAGGAAGGGAGAATCAGAAAGGAAACAGGAAAGGAAGGAAGGGAGAAGCAAAAAGGAAACAGGAAAGGAAGGAAGGGAGAATCAGAAAGGAAACAGGAAAGAAAGGAAGGGAGAAGAAAAAAGGAAACAGGAAAGGAAGGAAGGGAGAATAAGAAAGGAAACAGGAAAGAAAGGAAGGGAGAAGCAAAAAGGAAACAGGAAAGAAAGGAAGGGAGAAGCAAAAAGGAAACAGGAAAGGAAGGAAGGGAGAAGCAAAAAGGAAACAGGAAAGGAAGGAAGGAAGGAAGGAAGGAAGGAAGGAAGGAAGGAAGGAAGGAAGGAAGGAAGGAAGGAAGGAAGGAAGGAAATTTATGGAGGTAGGGTTTGATTGAGTCGCGAGAGGCTGAAATTAAAAGAGGAGGACATATGGTACATAAGGAAGTAAGGACTTAAAAAGGGCAGAGAGGAAAGGAAGGAAGGGAGAATCAGAAAGGAAACAGGAAAGGAAGGAAGGGAGAAGCAAAAAGGAAACAGGAAAGGAAGGAAGGAAGGAAGGAAGGAAGGAAGGAAGGAAGGAAGGAAGGAAGGAAGGAAGGAAGGAAGGAAGGAAGGAAGGAAGGAAGGAAGGAAGGAAGGAAGGAAGGAAGGAAGGAAGGAAATTTATGGAGGTAGGGTTTGATTGAGTCGCGAGAGGCTGAAATTAAAAGAGGAGGACATATGGTACATAAGGAAGTAAGGACTTAAAAAGGGCAGAGAGGAAAGGAAGGAAGGGAGAATCAGAAAGGAAACAGGAAAGAAAGGAAGGGAGAAGCAAAAAGGAAACAGGAAAGAAAGGAAGGGAGAAGCAAAAAGGAAACAGGAAAGGAAGGAAGGGAGAAGCAAAAAGGAAACAGGAAAGGAAGGAAGGAAGGAAGGAAGGAAGGAAGGAAGGAAGGAAGGAAGGAAGGAAGGAAGGAAGGAAGGAAGGAAGGAAGGAAGGAAGGAAGGAAATTTATGGAGGTAGGGTTTGATTGAGTCGCGAGAGGCTGAAATTAAAAGAGGAGGACATATGGTACATAAGGAAGTAAGGACTTAAAAAGGGCAGAGAGGAAAGGAAGGAAGGGAGAATCAGAAAGGAAACAGGAAAGGAAGGAAGGGAGAAGCAAAAAGGAAACAGGAAAGGAAGGAAGGAAGGAAGGAAGGAAGGAAGGAAGGAAGGAAGGAAGGAAGGAAGGAAGGAAGGAAGGAAGGAAGGAAGGAAGCAGCAAAAAGGAAACAGGAAAGGAAGGAAGGGAGAAGAAAAAAGGAAACAGGAAAGGAAGGAAGGGAGCAGCAAAAGGGAAACAGGAAAGGAAGGAAGGAAGGAAGGAAGGAAGGAAGGAAGGAAGGAAGGAAGGAAGGAAGGAAGGAAGGAAGGAAGGAAGGAAGGAAGGGAGCAGCAAAAAGGAAACAGGGAAGGAAGGAAGGAAGGAAGGGAGCAGTAAGAAGGAAGGAAGGAAGGAAGGAAGGAAGGAAGGAAGGAAGGAAGGAAGGAAGGAAGGAAGGAAGGAAGGAAGGAAGGAAGGAAGGAAGGAAGGAAGGAAGGGAGCAGCAAAAAGGAAACAGGAAAGGAAGGAAGGGAGAAGAAAAAAAGAAACAGGAAAGGAAGGAAGGAAGGAAGGAAGGGAGCAGCAAAAAGGAAACAGGAAAGGAAGGAAGGGAGCAGCAAAAAGGAAACAGGAAAGCAAGGAAGGGAGCAGCAAAAAGGAAACAGGAAAGCAAGGAAGGGAGCAGCAAAAAGGTACAATCAGTTTGGTGAACGGCTCCAAATTGGCTTTTAGGCGGGTTGAGGTGTGACGCAACGAGAAGCGCGACAGTTCAGTCTAAAGAAAATGGCGGCTTCAGCCGATGAAACTAGCGTTAGCGTGGCTATCGAGCAAGTTTTATCGGAATTACAGAGTATTTCTTCACTGGAAGAAGAGCAAAACACTGCTCTGGAGGCTTTTCTCAGAGGAAAAGATGTTTTTGCTCTTCTCCCGACTGGTTTCGGCAAGAGTTTGATCTATCAATTGGCTCCTCTTCATCGTCGCTCTGTTAGTACGTCATATGCTTCGTTGATCTGATTGGTTTATTTGGTCCGTCTATCACCAACATAGGCCAATCAGCTAACCAGTATTTTCGCCCCTTCCCAAAATTACTTCAACGGAAGGTTTCCAGATGGATATGCGGAGCAAATCCATCTGGCGGAGTCAGGTTAAGGAATTGCAGCCTGCCGACAGTAAAGATGAAGAAGGAATTAGCTGTGTGTATATGAGAGTCATGGGTACTTGTTGCATTAAAATTATTTTAAGAGCATTAAAAAAGCATTAAATTATTCCTGTATAAACCCTGATTTAGACACACCCCATGATTGGATCTTTTTATTTAGTGTCCATGTAAACAAAGATTTGGATCTGATCAGGGACATTTTGCAGATGTAGCTGCTATTATGTAGAAGTAATAAAGCAAATGGAAAGTCGAACCTTTTGTGCGCTTGGTGTCTCAGAGAAGGCTGCTGAGAGGAGAGAGGATGTTACGGCAGAGAGAAAAGTGGCTTTACTGTTAAAGCCAATATTTTACACCTGAATGGATTATAAATGCAAATAGAACTATGAACCATTTTAATGGGGGTAATTATTTTGTTTTCTATGGTAGGCCCTGCCACCTGGCTTTTATACACAACAATTGGTCTAAATCTGCAAAGACAATCCCTTGAAAATCCTGCCTACCCTTCAGTTGTCTTTAATTTTCCTTCCATCCATCTTTGGGAATTTGTTTGTTTCTGGGAAACTGTTTTGGAAATCTCTGAGTCCTGGCAGGAAAAATGTGAAGCAGGCCCCTGTCTAGCTCATTTATAATGGAAACTCTCCCACTGCACGTCAGTCACACACATCTTCACTCTGCTGCTGAAAGCATCAGCGCTTCGCCCACATGCATGAAAATATCCTGGATTTCTTACATAAGCATGCAGCGGAAAGCAAAAATTAGAGAGAGGCACAGACACAAGTCATTCAGGCGGTGAGGTTTGTGCAGCAGTGGCAGTCCTTCAGTCTGATGCCTCTGTTTCGACTGCTCCTTCACCTGCATCCCCACCCAAATCCAACAGCTGTGCCCCATAAAATCGGCCGCATCATCGAAGGAAGCCCGGCCGACCGCAGCGGGAAGCTGAAGGTGGGAGACAGGATCCTGGCGGTGAACGGCCAGTCCATCGTCAGCATGCCGCACGCCGACATCGTCAAGCTGATCAAGGACGCAGGCCTGAGTGTCACTCTGAGGATCATCCCACAGGAAGGTGAGAAAACTGGAACACAAACAAGCAGACAATTAAACTTAGACGTTCAGAAATGGTTTTTATAGCCTTCAAAACCTCTAAATGAAATTCCTTAAAACTTCACTGCTTTTCTTTTATCATATATAGTAACGTCTGCATAAAACCCACACTCACTGCCTTTTAACAAACCTTATAGTTTGAGTCTTTAATCTGCTTTTACAAACATGTACATTAAAAACATCCATTCCTAACAGGCTTTAAGTTACTACAGCAAACATTGCTGACCTACATTGTAGATGAACAGCTGGACGAGCTCCTGTTCTGTTCTTTGCCATCGTCTGGATTTAAACACAGAATTAACGTTGTGCAGTTATCTGCCAGTCTTTTAACTTTAATCTCTTTTTTTTTTAGATATAATGATATAATGGCAGCAATCGGTGAACAAAAGCATCAACGATGAAAACTTGATGGATTTTTCTCAAATCTCATCTTATTTTAGCAGGAAAACAACTTTTAAAGATTGATCCAAACAGAGGTTATAAGAAAATACATCCAGCATCCTGTTTCTTACCTTTTAAAATTTAGTTCCCTTTTTTACTTTGGGTCTAAAATGGTCCAAGTTTGATACTTATGTTTGTTTTTTATTCCCTGATCTTTTGGATGGGGAAAAAAAATCCTAAACTGGCAATATTTTGTAAAAAATAAGCAGCAGATTAGATATATTTTAATGAGATTATTATATTTTTATTTTTATTATTATATTAATTTTTTTATGAAGCTAACAAAATGTTTTTTGTCCCAAAATGGTTTATTTAACAAAGATCTCCTTTCATCACATTCCAGCTTCGATCTTCAGTGATTTTTATGCGATGAACTGTTGCCAAAAAAAAGCAGACCCCCCTTTACTCTGACACCCCTTAAATAAAAGGGAATACAATAGCTGCCTTTTGACGTTTCCTTATTATTAAAAGAAATAAACCTGCCTTCCTTTCAAGCATCCCCTCAGCATGATACTGCCACTACCATGTTGATGGCAGAAATAGCTGATCCAGTTCCGATTTTCCATCTGAAATATTTTGTTTGAGGTCCCAATCACCTTCTGACACACGTCCGCTGTGTCCCTGACATTGTGTGTGTGGATTTTTTTGTTTAACTTTTTTTCAAAATGTACTTGTTGTGGCCCAGCTTTGATGACACAAAAAAAGGTCCACAAAGGCCACAGATGCACCAAGTAATTTACGCCGGCAAAAGAAAAAATGTTCCAAGCAAACTCCTTCAGTTTTCTTAGTTTATTTCTCCTCAGGCAAGCAAATAAAAAAGGACAAACATTTCCAACATGCTTCATTTATGCTGGTAAAAATACATACATCCACCCAGATGCATACTGGTCCTACCATTGACAGCCGATTTAGAAACTTAATTCACCCAAATTAATAATAACTAACCAGAAACACAGGAACATAACTAAATAACCAGAAAAAAAAACAAAATAAAGTAGAATAAAATTAGCTAGATTATCCACAAAAATTAAAAACTTTGTTAATTATTAACAAAAAATAATTGGCTCCTAACTGAAATTCATAAAAGTCAGGTTTGTGGAGGGGAAGACTAATGTTGTCCTGTTAATAGATTGTCACACCCAGGCTGTGGAGCTCTGCAGCTCCTCGAAAGTTACCCTGAGCCTCTTTACTGCTTCTCTGATTAATGGCTTCCTTTTAGCCAGCTTAGGTGGATGGAAGCATCTTGGTGGGTTTAATACACTGCTATCAGTGTATCAACCCTCCAGACCACTCAGGTCTTCTGGCTCCAGCCTGCTCTGCATACCTAGAACCAGAACTAAACATGGAGAAGCAGCATTTAGTTCCTATGCTCCACTTATCTGGAACAAACTTCCAGAAAACTGTAAAAGTGCGGAAAGCCTGAGTTCCTTTAAATCAAGACTAAAAACACATTTAGTTAGGATTGCCTTTGACTGTTCTAGTTAAACAGTTCAACTAAAACATGTTTTCTTTAGTCCAACTGTTTTTAATCTTCTTTTTTGTTTGTGCAATTTTCATTTTATTTTATTTATTTATTTTTTTCCTACTTGCTTTGATTCTGTTTTATCTTCCTATATTTGAATCATGTAAAGCACTTTACATTGTCTTTGTACTGAATTGTGCTATACAAATAAATTTGCCTTGCCTAAATGATGCATTGAACAAAGTTCAGTGTTTTCATTTGTTTGCTTCATGACCCAATTTCTGCGGTAAACTTCTTCACAACAGAGCGACTTCTTCTTTGGTGTTTGTGATGCTATTTGTTCTCTAAATATCCCAAACAGTCCTACCAGTGCTGCACAAAACAGCTTTTACAAATTCATTTTTACTTTAATTGGTAATTGGGTGATCTGGGTTTTATTTAGGGGTGTCAGAGTAAAGGGGGCTGAATGCAAAAGCATTCCTCACTTTCAGAGTTGAATATTTTTTTTATATGTATTGATCTCTTTTCACTTCATATTGATGGACATATGATGTAAAAGAGGTGTTGTGGTGCTCAACTCTTTTCCTTTAGATGATTATTTCACCAAACATTCGTCTCGGTTGTACAAATCTTAAAAAAGTGAATTAGTTGATGCCTTTTCCAAGTGCAAAATAACTAATTATATTGATTCTCTGTTTCAATCAAAGTTATACACTTATAATTTATAAAGCTCCTAGTTTAAAGTGTTGCCAGATTGTTGCCAATCTGTTTTAGAAAAAAGCTGCGCTGAAGTAAACATTCACTACCTGAATTCCCTAAAACCACAAAAGTATTGTCAAACGTACAGTTTTCTAGTTATACCTACAACTAGTTCCTGATTAGCAGAAAATAAAGTAGTCAAAAAACAAAACAAATGTATTGTTTTCTTGGCGTTTCTAGATCTCAGCAACCCTCCTTCAGCGCCGACGTCAGAGAAGCAGAGCCCCATGGCTCATCAGCACAGTCCAAAGGTGCAGCCCAACACCGCAGCCTCCCAGTCCAACCAAGCACCAGCAGAACCCAACCCCACTGCTGCTCAGCCCAACCCAGCACCCCATCAGAGCCCTGTGACCCTTCCTGCTCCTCCTCCTCAGACCTACACCCACGACGGCAGGTAGGATATAGTTTCTAAATATTTTGAACTGTTGTTTCATGAGGATTTTTTCTGACTCTGCTCAGTGTTTCTAAAGATGCATAGACTTTAGGAGGCTTGCACTAAAGTTTTATTTCTCGTAGCATACCTTGTAGCTTTATGCCGTGTAATATGTTATTAGGCTGGTCTTCCTTTGGGTGGACTGGTTCCTCTAAGGCAGAGGTCACAGATTATCGGACCATGGTCCAGATCTGGACCCTACGGAGCTCCTGAAAGGGACATGGAGGGAAAAAATAAACTTTTGCGAGATCTCGCAAAACTAATGCGGGATCTCGCAAAAGTTCTTTTTTCCCCTCTATTTCCCTTTAGGGGCTCCGTAGGACCCACCTGCTGGCTAATCTGGACCCAACCTGATTTAACACATTTATAAATTACTGCATGTTGTCCGACGACAGTGTCTAACTTCACTTGCACATCTTCTCCTGTTAATACGGTAAAGCCCTGGGGAGCGTCCGGCTCCAGGCTGCACGGGTTCCAAATCAGCCAATGAGCTGTCAGTCTGGGTTGCTGCTGCTGCTACTTTTAGACACAGCAGGCAAACCTGTGGCAAGCCGGGCGATGGGAAAGAAGGAGAAGACGATGAGAAAAAGAGAGCAGAGAAAGTGTGGACTGCTGCAAGAACTGTGGTGAACTGGTGAAAGAAAAGTGAAATGGTGCTCAAAGACGACCCTGCACATTTAGAGGATGTTTGGCTCAACCTGCTGCTGTGAAGCAGGATTCTCCACCATGAAGAGATTAAAAAATAAATCTGGATCCAGGCTCAAAATGAGCACCTTGATATGTGCTTGAGAATGGCTTAGTCTCCATTCAAACCCAGGTTTAAAGCCTTGCAGGGCAGCCTAAAGCCCACTGCCAACATTAAGACAGAAAAAAAAAAACCGCTCAGTTCAGGTGATAAAATAAGTAAATCAGGAAATTGTCTATATACCAAACTGAATTGTTGTTCTCCACTTCAAAAAACACTTTAGGTTTAAAAAAAATTTCTTATATATTTTTATTAAAAAATTCAATGTGTAACATGGATGCATAAAAACCTAATTTTATTTTAGAGTAAATTCTTTTTAAAGTAACGGATTAAATGTCTCCAGACCTTTACTGATTGATGATTTTCTTTATTCAGACCCCACTGATTTTTAAATTTCTACCCCTGCTCTAAAGGTTTAAATTCACTGGAACTATTAAATCAGGCTCATTTGCTGTCTAAGTTCAGTCAAAGATTTAGAAAAAAGGTTTTTGTTTATTTCCGAAATTCAAGAATGTTTTAGGGGAGTTTGAATTACATCTGTTTTTAAAATTTACTTTGTTGTTTTTAAGTAACTTTGAATCTAATTTGGCATTGTGTTTAGGATAAATGTTCAGTTGTAAGATCCTACTGTGTCCAAGTTTTAAGTTCTTACTGGACACATTTAGCTTAAACATCTCCCCGATTCCATCTATTTTGTGACACAACAATGTGCAACATCTGTACTTGACAGTAAAAGTGATGTTCGTAAGGTTAGCAAACGTAAACCTTTTTTTCAATCAATCAATTAAGGTCTTTGTCCCAAAGCGCATTTGGAAACTGTGTTACTTGTGGCTTCCTGAATTCTTCTTTGCAGAGCGGCATTTCAGCCTTTGTCTGTACAGGATTCGTATATAAAGACTCTGACTAGCATCTTTAGGCAAGGCAAGGCAAATTTATTTGTATAGCACAATTCAGTAGAAAGACAATGTAAAGTGCTTTACATTATTAAAATACAGGAAGATAAAATAGAATCAAAGCAAGTAGGAAAAAATAAAAAAATAACAATCCTAAAGCCATTCAGAGATTTATAGACTAACATAAGTATTTTAAAGTCTATTCTCTGAGATACAGGGAGCCAGTGTAAAGACTTTAGAACTGGGGTGATGTGCTCTACTTTCTTAGTCTTAGTGAGGATCTTTACAAGATCCTTTCTTTTTCTGTTCTGGATTGATGCATTTTTGCCCCAAATTATCACAGAACCCATAAGCAGTGTAGTTTTTATACTTGTTGTAACATCAGGAATGTTTTTCCCAATGAGGGTTTATTTAGATTTGATATCATTTCACACATGAAGTAGTCTGATGGCACGTTGCCTTAAAATACTTCCAAAGATGTGTCTCCCATGAACTCAAATGTTGGTGTTTAAGCTGTAAGGCACTTTAGAAAACTCATGTGAGCTTTCCCTAAAATGTTTAAGCACAGTTTACTTAGTTTATGCCCAATTTTACTTAACTGAATGAAAACAGGAGAGCTTTAGTCTGATTTTATTTCTGATGGTAAGAAAATGTCGATTTCTTTATTTTCACAAAGTGTGGCAAACATTTGATTTAAAGTCTATATTTTATTTCTGCCTTTCTCCATATTTCCTCTTTTTTTTTGCAAACTTCAATGTCATGTTCACTCTCCATCGCACTCTCCAGCCTCACTTCCTTCTTAACATCCCTTTACTCTTAGAGACTACTAAATCATTCAGGATAGATTTATCGCATCTTTATAAAGATCTGCTCAATATTTCACCAGGAGCTACAAAGCCTTAAACTGTCGCTGCCATTGATATTTTTATTAACATTTGATGGATTTTTTTTCCTGGTGAAAAAAGGCTTAATTTCCTGAATTAAGTCATTTCTTCTGGTTCCAATCAAAGATAAGAAATATTCATTTTCTATCGGGAATATATGGCTTTATCTTGGAGGTCTTCTTTCAGTCCGGGGTCTTTGTTAGTTACAGGTCAGAGGTTAAGGCAAGACAAGACGTTAAACCTGATATCAGACAGCCTCCTTTCACGGATTACCGGCAACCGCCGGTGGATTACCGGCACCCTCCTGTGGCGGACTACAGGCAGCCACCCACGCTGGACTACAGGCACCCACCGCTGCTGGATTACAGGCCATTCGCCATCCCAGACTACAGGATGCCTCCTGTTCAAGTAAGAATACATTCATTTCTCACATAATGGATTACTGATGATGATTCTTATTCGATTTTTTCTCATTAATGTATCAAACCAAAGTATTTAGTGTTCCATTTTCCATGTTTAGAAAAAACTTTTTAGTTGTGCTGTTTGCTGTTAGTCTAACACACAATTTTCCCCTTCCTTAACCCCTATCAAATACAAAAACATTTTTGCTTTCCATATGTTTAAAAAAAGCTTCAAATGAAGTCAGCGTCTAGTTCAAATGGTTTCATTCATTAGAGATTTATTCTGTTTTTGCTTTTTTGTCAGATTAAAATATCAACTAATGGTTAATATCAGGGGGATATCCGGCACAAAAAGCAGTTTTTAATTGTACCTTTATATATAAAAGGAATAGTACACCCAAAACATGATTAGCCTTCATTTTCTACTCACCCCCATGCTGAACAACACTCTGGAGTACTTTTTTGATATCTCAAATGCATCTGGAGATCTGGGAGGCTTCTTGCTGTCTGCTGACATTCAAATAATGGAGGTCTATGGTGACCGAGACAGAAAGGTCCATAAAAGTCCACAAAAAACGTTTCAATATTCCTCCATACTGCTCGTCCAATGTATTCCAAGTGTCCTGAGTGGGTAGCATCCAGAATCTACTCGAAACAAAGTTATTTAGAATGTTTTTAGAGCATAAACAGTAGTGTATAGGATTTCCTAAAAGCGCGTTCACGAGTCTACGGAAACCGCGGCAGACCAAACCAGATGAAAGTGCGCATTCAGCTCGGCAGAGAACTCATGCTCTTCCTCAACACTGAAGTCCTCAGACATTTTTCTTTCGTTGTTTCTTTCTTTGCACAGGTAAACAGCACATTTCTTCTTCTACGCTTGCATTATCGGCAGAGCAGACGCTGAATGCGCATTTTCGTCTGGTTTGGTCTGCCGCGGTTTCCGTAGACTCGTGAACGCGCTTTTAGGAAATCCTATACACTACTGTTTATGCTCTAAAAACATTCTAAATGGCTTCGTTTCGAGTAAATTATGGACGCTACCCACTCAGGACACTTGGAATACATTGGACGAGCAGTATGGAGGAATATTGACACGTTCCGTAAAAATTCAAAAAATATCCACTGGACTTGGTTTTCAAGATTTTAAGACGTTTCGCCACCTCTCCAGGAAGCTTTCTCAGTTAGAACTTTGTCAAATGTCAGGAAAAAAAAATATCATCAAGTCCCTTTTTGTGGACTTTTATGGATCTTTCTGCTATGGACCTCCATTATTTGAATGTCAGCAGACAGCAAGAAGCCTCCCAGATCTCCAGATGCATTTGAGATATCAAAAAAGTACTCCAGAGTGTTGTTCAGCATGGGGGTGAGTAGAAAATGAAGGCTAAACATGTTTTGGGTGTACTATTCCTTTAAGGGAATGCCTTCTGAAACAAGTGTCCACGTAGGTTAAAAAACTTTAACTCTCATTAAAAATATTTTGCTCTTCGTCCAAAAACTTAGTGTGAATATATAACTCCTCATTTATTGTTTTTTACCCTTTTTTTTATGGAAGCAGAGTTCACTACATGCATAAAGTCTATTTAACGATATGAAGTAGGTAGGCAGTATCAAGTCACAGACTTTGCATCACACTGATCTCAGCTATCACTCCCAAAGTCTTGATACCATTTCTGCTGTGATCATCTATTTCACGACATCTTCATGCAAACATTCACCTGAATCTCACTTTGTCTGATGGGGGCTTGTTTCAGCTCACGCAGGACTTTGATTACTTCACGGTGGAGCTGGAGAAAAGTGTGAAGGGCTTTGGTTTCAGCATCCGAGGGGGGCGGGAGTACAAGATGGACCTGTTTGTCCTGCGGCTGGCGGAGGACGGACCGGCCATCCGCAACGGGAGGATGAGGGTAGGCTTGATGATATTTTCTTTCCTGACATTTGACAAAGTTCTAACTCCCTCTTAAAAGGTTAAGCTGCTCTATCTTTCTGGATTACATGGCAGTCACTCAGTGTAATTGTGTGATGCTATCAAAGCCGCTGCAGCAACTTTTCTCATGTCATATTAAAACCTCAGGGTTTTTCACCTCCCATGTTTGTCAAACTCATCTCTCCTCTACTCACCATCGCATTTAGCTCAGCTTAAAGCGTAACCCAAGAGTTTGCAAAGCACCCTAAAGTAGCACAGAGCTTAAGACGCCATAAAAACACAGAAGCAGTCTGTACACAGCTGATGCGTTGACTTATCAGGCTCCATCTCTGCTTTGTAAGTTTTCTGATTCACGGCTGCCGAGATACATTAAAACTTCCTCTGCGGCATTTTTTTCTATCCATCAACCAACTCGACCCTCTGCTCTCTGCTTCCTTTTCTTGTATGTTTTACAGCTTTTGTGCTTTGGGCTGATAGCCTCGGCATGATCTACATTGCTTATCTGTAATGAACCTGTCAAAGATAATGTGTGCAAAATGCCCCCAGGGGAGGAATTACTCTCCCTTCTGGATGCTGCAGTCAACACAGTCCAGCGAGCCTGGAGGGAGGTAGGCTAGCAGGGAGGGAGGAATCCCTCTGGGGGGCTACTTAAAGTCAGCTCACAAGCTTCTGTGAAATATGATCATGCGGTAATATGCACCATATTGAGCAAAAGTCTGGAGCTGTCCTGAAAAATATAACTAAAACACTAGTTTGATGGTCAGACAATTAGAGCTCAGCACCAACCAGAGGATTTCAAGTGTTTATTCATTTCAAGATAAATACTGGACAAATAACAGAGCCCCTCACCCTTTTTCTGAGGTGGATTCCAGCCACTCTATACAGGAAACCTATTTCAGCTGATTAGGGCCCCGTCACACCTTGCCTATTTAGCCAGCATATGCCTGACGTCCCAGAATCTCCTAAAACGCTGGCATACGCTGAACTTTCTATGTATCTTTCAATTATGGGCATAAAAATTGAGTATTCATAAGTGCAGAACTTGCGTCCAGCGACAGCCTAACTTATGCATGAGGCACGGCAGTTACAGGAGAAGAATTCACAATTCTGACTGAATTCTGACCATAAAAAAAGTCACAATTCTGAGAAAAAAGTCAGAATTCTGACTTTTTTTCCCCAAACTAAACTGAAATAAAATTAAAAAATCAGTTAACTTTTTTTTTTTTACAGTGGCCCTAATCCTCTTCCGTACTCTTCAGAAGATTTTTAACCTCTTAAAACCCACTGGGTTGCCGGGGGTAATAACTCAGAACGCATAAAATTCCCCCTGTAAAATTTTTACCAGCAGGTGGAGCCATTGCGCGCAGCTCCAAGCTGACACCGAAAGTTCCAAATCCCACAGCTCTGGAACTGTTTTAGCTAGAGGTCTGACATTTTCTGCATTTGTGGTCGACATGATGTAGAACAAATATAATACAATAAAACTAGCTTTTTCTCAAGAATATCTTTATTACTGCTGTTCAAAAAAGACCTATCATTTCCGAGAATAAAAAAAACAACTTTGAGTCATGTTTGAACTGATACAAGTTTGTCCGTGTTCTAGTCACCCAATTTTTATTTATATATTAGGAAACTAGAAGGTGTTAGCTTTCAAATAATGTAATTCACATGTAATTTGGGTTTACAGTTCCTGAGCTATTTGCTTTTCCATTTGGGTATGCAAAATAGGCGAGGATTACCCAAAATGAGGTGGATGCATTAGAGTGTCTTCAGTCAGAGGCTTCTCCAGATCCAGTGAAACACAGACCACTACAGAAGATCCTTCCTGCCTACAGCCACGTATTGGTTACTGCAACATTTAATATCCCTTTGAGATTAATAAAGTGTCATTGGATCGAAGAGGGCATTACTGTGTTGCCAAAGCAACAACTTATTTCCTTTCCCATTGGAGGGAAGAGGCCGTCCCATTCTCATTTATAACCCACACCTTCCATTAAGGCGCCCTCCACAGCTGTGAGTGTGACTTCAGTGGGAGCGGCACTCGATAGTTAGGGGTAGTGCTTAGCGGTGCTGTTTGGGATCGGGTCCAAGTCTTGGTTCTGTGAAACAGGCCCCAGGTTGGTTACGATGGCCTGAGAACAGCTTTGCATCACCGAGTAATTAGCTGCTGGTTTTACTGCCGTCCTCCAGTCTGTCATCTGGGTGCAGAGAAAACCAGTCAGCTTTTTAATTTCAGTAAATTAGAGCAACAAGTCCAAAGAATTGGAAGTGACTGGCTGTTACTTTGGCTTTTACTACTTTAAGACACACAGAGGGAGGAAACTATTTATTCCAAAGAGCCCAAACTGCTCAGTAATGATATTTGATGGAGCGTTTAGGGTTAAAGTGCCAGAGCAAATAATTCCTGCTGATTTTATAACTGTTCTGATGTACTTATAATAATAACACTCACTTAATTTTAATCTTGTGTCACTTAAGTTCAGCATTGGCATGATCTTTATTCAACATATATTTCCCTTTCTCCGCTAAGATGAAAATTGAGATTGCTCTGCTGTTTGGAGGTCAGGTTTAATGAGCAAATCGTCCTGCCGTCCTCCCCTTATCCGCCTTTCTCCAGACTACCGTAATAGTACCTAATATCCCCCCCTCCCTCCTTTGAATCAATCCCCCTTTTGACTTTTAAATTGCTGTGAACATTACAGGATGAGATCTCCATTTGTTAGCATAATTGTGCTTCATCTTTTGTCCTGTTCCCGATGAATCCCTCCCATTAGTCATGCTCGGAGCGGAGAAGTGTCTTTTATTGAGCTGTTGCATCTCCGGTCTTCGAGAGACGACGTCCTGCCACTTTTTAAGACGTGTCCTTGGTCCAACACACCTAATGATCACCTAATTATTTAATTCAGGTGTGTCGCAGCAGCGGCCCTCATGGACTGGAGCTTCCCTTCCCTGGCATAGAGGGTCCAGCTTTGAATAAATGTACTGCTGGCCTAGGAGCAACATTAAGGGAAGGACCAGACCAGCTTTATTTTAATTAAATTAGTTTTACTACATTTAGTATAATATAATAATCAGATTAAATTTATGTATTTATGTAATTGTTCATGATTTGTCATGAATGTATTAATTTGTTATATGCAGTGATGGGAGTAACGGCGTTACTAACGCTGTTAACTTTTTTTAGTAATGAGTAATCTAACTAATTACTTTGACTAACTATAACGCAGTTCCCATTGCAGACACCCCGTTACTGCACGTTACTCAGGTCGCACAATGAACCTTTTTTCATGATAGGACTCGTGCGCGCCTTGTCATGAGAGAGGGGAGGATGAGAATGGCTGATGTATAGTGAGATTCCGTCTGTCAGTTGGGTAGGTGGGTGTTTCTGCTGGCGGGTGTTAACATACAGCACACACAGAGAGATTTAGAGTGAGGAGGACTCCAGCAGCAAAACGGCGTTTTCCAGATGGAAATACCGGTGTTACGTCGAGCTGCGTTTCCCCATCAGATACGGTTTCCCCTGCATCTCCGCACAGCGCAGGCGGCACGATTCACCACGACAGGAAATGCTCATGCTCGCTAAAGGCGCGTAACAGCCGCACTGTCATGGATGGATGGATGGATGTAGGTATGTACACTCACCGGCCACCTTATTAGGTACCCCATGCTAGTACCGGGTTGGACCCCCTTTTGCCTCAATTCTTGGTGGCATAGATTCAGCAAGGTGTTGGAAGCATTCCTCAGGGAGTTTGGTCCATATTGACATGATGGCATCACACAGTTGCCGCAGATTTGTTGGCTGCACATCCATGATGCGAATCTCCCGTTCCACCACATCCCAAAGATGCTCTATTGGATTGAGATCTGGTGACTGTGGAGGCCATTTGAGTACAGTGAACTCATTGTCATGTTCAAGAAACCAGTCTGAGATGATTCCAGCTTTATGACATGGTGCATTATCCTGCTGAAAGTAGCCATCAGAAGTTGGGTACATTGTGGTCATAAAGGGATGGACATGGTCAGCAACAATACTCAGGTAGGCTGTGGCGTTGCAACGATGCTCAATTGGTACCAAGGGGCCCAAAGAGTGCCAAGAAAATATTCCCCACACCATGACACCACCACCACCAGCCTGAACCGTTGATACAAGGCAGGATGGATCCATGCTTTCATGTTGTAGACGCCAAATTCTGACCCTACCATCCGAATGTCGCAGCAGAAATCGAGACTCATCAGACCAGGCAACGTTTTTCCAATCTTCTATTGTCCAATTTCGATGAGCTTGTGCAAATTGTAGCCTCAGTTTCCTGTTCTTAGCTGAAAGGAGTGGCACCCGGTGTGGTCTTCTGCTGCTGTAGCCCATCTGCCTCAAAGTTCGACGTACTGTGCGTTCAGAGATGCTCTTCTGCCCACCTTGGTTGTAACGGGTGGTTGTTTGAGTCACTGTTGCCCTTCTATCAGCTCCAACCAGTCTGGCCATTCTCCTCTGACCTCTGGCATCAACAAGGCATTTCCGCCCACAGAACTGCCGCTCACTGGATGTTTTTTCTTTTTCGGACCATTCTCTGTAAACCCTAGAGATGGTTGTGCGTGAAAATCCCAGTAGATCAGCAGTTTCTGAAATACTCAGACCAGCCCTTCTGGCACCAACAATCATGCCGCGTTCAAAGTCACTCAAATCACCTTTCTTCGCCATACTGATGCTCGCTTTGAACTGCAGGAGATTGTCTTGACCATGTCTACATGCCTAAATGCACTGAGTTGCCGCCATGTGATTGGCTGCTTAGAAATTAAGTGTTAACGAGGTGTACCTAATAAAGTGGTCGGTGAGTATATGTATCTAGGTAGGTAGGTAGGTAGGTAGGTAGGTAGTTTATAGGCCCATCAGATAGCGTTCCCCCCTGATGTCATTTACGTTGAGTTGCAATAAATGCTAAACTCTCTGCAGGTTCTTGTCTTTGTCGTCCGCTCTATTCAGCTGGCTTTGGAAACACACGGCGAGAAGGTGGGGGCTAGGTGGTGAGGGTTACAGGGGCGAAAAACACAAAAGTAACGCAATAGTTACTTTTACTAGTAACTAGTTAATTTTATTGTGGTGTAACTCAGTAACTCAGTTACTTTTTGTAACTAGTAACTATAACTAATTACTTTTTTCAAAGTAACTTGCCCAACACTGGTTATATGTATCCCCCACCTACCTCTTTCATTTTTGCAAACTTAAGGATGAAAAATCATGTTAAGTCATTTTTTTGTGTCCATTTGCATCTTTGTAGTCTTATTTTTGTGTTTTTCTCAATTCTGGTTTATGTTTATTCCAATTTTAAATACTCTGAATCCATCCACAAAGAGCTGAGGGCTTTCTTCTTTTTTTAATCACAATTTTGCCCCAAATTAAGCTTAATCTCATCTTTCACTGGATTAAATCCCTTTAGACAAATTCCAATAATTATAAAATGAATGTTTAGTTTGTATATGAAAACTCCAAAGCTGTTCTTTTTTTATAAATTTGTCTCACATTCCTTCCAGTTTGGGATATTTCTAGATGTGAAACACTTCCAAACGTATTGCAATAATACAGGAAAGTCTTTTCCCTCCTAGCTGGCTAACACATTGAGCAAAGAGCGCTCGCTGGGGCTGAAATGTCTTCTCCTCTCCATCTGATTCTTAGGACTCCCTTATCTTCCTCTCTGCCATGCAGGTCGGGGACCAAATCATCGAGATCAATGGAGAGAGCACCCGAGACATGACCCACGCCAGGGCCATCGAGCTCATCAAGTCTGGGGGCAGACGGGTTCGTCTCCTCCTGAAGAGGGGGACGGGGCAGGTCCCGGAGTACGGTGAGTACCAGGAGGACAAACATCATCAGCTTCATTTCCCTCTAATAACACTACAAATTTATTATCTTACCGTCTGATAAAATACAGCATGCATTTATATCCATAATAATCTTTTTATTGTACTCTTGTATTCTTTAGTCTTAATAATATTTGCTTCCTTTTCTGACTTGACTAACACTAGTTTATCTTCTGTCCATTTCAGTGATCTATCACTAATTGATTGGTCTAGGTTGTTACTTCCCCTTCTATAGGAATGGTATCTTCCAGTCTCTCCATGTGCATGAAAAGTGACAAGCATGGCTCCCCCTATTTCTTCCTAACGGGCCACTCTTAAGACACGGTTTGTTACCATACCAATGTTTTTCTCTTCACTTAACCCTGCCTTTCTGTCTTGTGCTGCTGTTGTTGTTTTAACCTGTTACAACACTCAGAACACCCCCCAAAAAATTCTGCAAATAAACCTCAAACCTTTATTTCCGTTTGTGGGATAATCAACAAAGCGGCGGGAGGTTGTAAAAACACGTGAACGTAGCTCTCCTCATTACTGAGGCGTGAATCAGCCTCCAACGGTTCTCCACGGCGCTAAAAACAACCTGGACAACACGAGCGTTCAGCGGGAATCAGCTGGAGATGCATGTTAGATATCATAGTGGATTATTTACAAAGTAAAAATCAATGCACAGCTTGAGCCAAGCGTGCGAGGGGAGTTTTTATGCAACGCTGCTGGTAATTAGGATGCGTCACAGACTCCTGCGGCTTCTTCATCATTTAAAGGCTCACTTGCATTTCAGAGAAAGGTCATTTTAGTTTTTTATTTGCTCCTTTATGATATTAAGTCAGTAGAAGTATTAAAAAGATTGCCTGTAGGTCATTCCTCTCCATCTTAAATTTCTTTTATTCAGTTGAATCTTTTCAGATGTCATCTGCATTACCTTCCCCTTTAGGTGTAGAGGTAAGGGCAGAATTGGAACTGACACCCTTAGATGTGGGTTTTATTCAGAATTTTATTTTTTAAAGACCATATCTGCATGCTGGAAGGTTATTAAGGGCAAGCTGTGTACAGTTTCAACAATTTCAGGCCAAGGACACGCTACACAGCAGCGCTCAATGGGTGTAAAATTCATAATTTTTCAGCTTGAATGAAGCTTTTAAACATGGTGGATCGGTGCTAGAATAACAGACATCCTTGGCTTTAAAAAATGAGAATCTAAATAGTTTAAGCGATACAGGCTTAAATATAAAGAAATGCTCCTACTAATCCTTACACTGGAAATACATCCAAATCTAGATAAGTCATTTTTTCTTAAAATAAGTGCATTTGTTACATTTAAAATAAGAAAACACAATTGCATTGTCTTATTTCAAGTGCATGGTATCTAATTATCTTATTTTAAGAGTAAAAATACCAATTCTATTTGCAAACTATCTCATTTACCTGCTCAAATTAAGAGTAAATACACTTAATTGAAGACATTTTCACTTATTTCTAGATTGTTTTTGCAGTGTATTTATATGTCTCTTCAATGAAAAAAATCCAAATCTAGATAAGTCATTTCTTTCTTAAAATAAGGGCATTTGTTCTCAAATTGAGGAGATAAAAGAGACATTCTGCCAATGGAACAAGACAATTTACATTTAAAATAAGAAAACACAATTGCATTGTCTTATTTCAAGTGCATATTATCTAATTATCTTATTTTAAGAGTAAAAATACTCATTCCATTGGCAAACTATCTCATTTACCTACTCAAATTAAGGGTAAATACACTTTATTAAAGATATTTTTACTTATTTCTAGATTGTTTTTCCAGTGTTGATGTGGACTTTTAACGGGGGGATCAAATTTTGAGGTCTTGGCTTTAGGAAATGCTTTCAAGCTTCTAGCATGACCCTCTAAAAGCCTCCTAGGTCGGCCACGTTTAAAATTAGCCAGTTATTTAAATATACTGTAAAGCCTACCATGACTTAAAGTTAATTTGTCAGTCCTTTTGATTCACTTTGACAAAACCTCCATACATTGAGTTTAAACACACAGAATTAAGCATCTATAACTTAAGAATCAGAAAGCTAGTTGAATATTTGAAGGAGCCATAATAATCTATCAGCAATCCTTTGTGTTTTTTCCAGCCGATTCATTTGCCTGAGCCTAGACATAAATAGTGTGTGGGCATTAATCACTTCCAGAAGGCAGGAAGCTGGATCTGCAGAGACGTTATGGCTGCAGGTGGATTTTTGTAAATGCCGTAAAAAGATTTTAAACAGGGCGTTATTTAAATGCAGGCACCTGCTGTCCTTTCAGCACCTGCCACCTGAACATTAAAATGCATCTCAGGGAATTAGGGCAGAGAGGGTCCTTGTTGCTCTAACATTCAGCAAAATTTGGGTCAGACTTTGAATTTAAAATAAATACTTTTAGTAAATATTTCTCTGTTAGCATATTTCCATTCACACGTTTGAGTTAGAATCGGAGCTGTAGGGCTCACAGTTCACCATCTACTCACAGCTAAACTTCCTGAGAAAATACTATCTCATCCATGAATATTTAATGTAAATAACACTCAGCTTGTGCAAAATCTGCTCGTAATAAACAGCCTCGCACAAGCAGCAGCAAATAACTTAGTGGGGAAAATTTGATACAATGCTATTTATGTAAGTTTCTCCACTAATGATGGAGATATGTTATTTTCCTGCAGATAAACTTCAGCTGTGTGAGACTGAATCTGAAACAGAAATGAGAAAAATCCCATTTTATAGTATCCTTATATCGAGTGTTCATTTTGTTGCATCAGACAGCAGGAATTCTGTGTTTGCATTTCTAGAGGCATCCCTGTCCTCCACACGTTACAGGTCTAAAACGCAACTGTCCACATTATTTTTCAATCAAACTTGAATTTCTCCATTACGGCTGCAATGATTAGCTAAAGCATCATTTTTAAAGAAGAAACATTGCAGTGTCTCTCAATAATTCATTTTTTAGTGGTAGACAGTTTGAATCACATGCAGTTCACTTAGGTAAATATCCAGATGCTACAATGGCCTAGTCAAAGTCCAGACCTGAATCCAATAGAGAATCGTAGGAAAAAACTGAAACGGCTGTTTAGAAACACTCTCCATCCATCCTCACTGAGCTCCAGCTGTTTTAAAAGGAGGAATGGGCAAAAAGTTTCAAATATCCAATACATTTTTTTCCACTTCATGATGGTGTCCCACTTATTGTTGATTCTTTACAAAGAATTAGAATATATCTTTATGTTCAAAGCCTGAAAATGAGGAAAAAGGTTGAAAAGGGGGGCCGAACACACGGCCCTGTACTTGCTAGTAAATGTGACGCAATAAAGAACTATAGAAAATACCTTAGCTCAGTAATTATAATAAGAGATTTCTGCAATGTTAAGTTCTATTTTTTTTTGTATTATTGTTACGTTCAAAACTGTAGGTTCATGATAAAAAGAAACTGAGTCCACACAGAATAGGGTTTTTTGGCTCCTGCAGGAGGAGAGAGCCACGTTCAGCCACATCTTGCTCTCTCTCATGGGTCTCCTCAGCAGAAGCCTTTTATTAACAGTTTATAACATAATAGGGTGGGTCTTAAACAGAAAACCCAGTCATGATTGAATCACAGCAGGATGCAACCGTGTGACTTTGCCTCATGACCTAATGATTGAATCACAGGATAGCAGGATGCAGGTCACAAAAGTCTACGACCCTCCTGATTGAATCACAGCACAGAAATGTAGCATAATTTTATAATCATAACTCTAACAATTATATTAAACTCTCCATGAAATTAAAAGCAAATAAATGATTTGATCATCACAATGTCGATTTAGCTCTCCATACTTGAATTTATTAAAAACAATCCACTGGACTTTGTTTCCAAGTATGAAGACGTTTAGCTTCCCATCCAGGAAGCTTTTTTAATTCAAAATGTCAGGAATAGTGTTGAGTTTGTAGTTTTATACATTAGCCCATCAAAACCTTGTTTTTGTTTAGAAAACATGCAAATTGAAATGGAGGAAGGGGTCCACCCCTTTAGAATTGGGGTCATTTGGCTTCTTTAGTTAGCCTAAAATACCTCATGCCCATCTAAGTGTCTGAAAGTGGGGGTCATTAAAGTTCAATTCCTTTTTAAACATTTAAAATACTCTTTCTATCATGATTTGGGGACATTAAGATCTAAAGAGAAGCATCATCTCCTGGTGAGACGCTGTAATTCGGGGAAAGGCTGGAGTCAAAGTAAATAAAATATGCACGCCCCAGAGAAGGCCAGTGGATGGATGTTGGAGGTTATTTTGCTTGGAGTTGCAGGGAAGTGGGCAGCAATTCTGCTGGCTTTTGACCAGGAAGGGCCATTTTAAATGGTTGCTACTGTATGTATACATATATATATAAAAAGAAATTAGGTGATGGCAGGATAAAGAAAAAGTTCACTGGGAGCGTTAGGGAACTGTGGCCGCTGTGAAGCTCTCTGTATAAAACTACTCAATAAGATGTATATCAAAAGCCAATCTGATAGTGAATGTCTTTCATGTGCAAGGAAGAATTAAAGTGTTCGGTTTGATCATTAAGGGTGAAGCTTGTTACGTTCTCAAACATTTGTACTTTTTCACTAGATGGCAAAAACAATAAGAAAATAAATTTGTTTCTGAGAAGCTGCAGTTGTTCCGCTCAGATGCTGACCTGAAATTAAGCAGCAACCCTTCCCCAGCCAGGCCATCCTGTTACTTTTAAGTTCTCCTGCTCCTAAATGTCTGAAAGCATGTTTTACAGGAGGCTCCTTCTTCATTAACTCAACTGAAAATGTTTGAGGGGTGTAGTTTCTCATTTAAAAAATGATTAACAGTTTAAAAAAAAAAAAAAAAACTTCTGCTAGCGGTGCAATGCATCATGGGATATCTTGCTGCACACAGCCGTGCCCCTTCAGAAACCTGCCATCAGACCAGGTCCAGATACCGGTGACAGTAAATGGCAGAGAAGATAAAAATATCCAAGTAGTTTTT